TGGGGCAGGGGCGGAGTGGAGGGCGGAGCTGCAAGTGGTTCGTCCGGGGGGCATGCGGAGAGGCTGCTGCATGCAGCCCAGGAGGGCATGAGGGGTATGTGCCCCCAGATGTGTGCATGGGGCAAGGATGGGCTGCCACTGCAGGCTGGGGCTGTGCTGGACTCTTCCCACACCCCTGGTTGGGCACATGCCCCTGCTTGGGCCAGAGTCACTCCCTGGACAAGCTGCTTGCAGCTCCATCCCATGACCCGCCCTGACTGTATAGCACCTGCCCTTGCCCCAGCCCCTGCCCCACTCCTTCCCTCACCACTGGGGCCTCAACCTGCCCGCTCCCATGCCCCTTCCCTTGCAACAGACTTACCAGCTGGACCTGGCTGCTCTCCACACTGCCAGGCTGTACTCCTGGCTGCCTGCGTGCATTTATCAGTGGCATTATCAGCCACATCAGCCAAAAAAAGCCGACTGCTGATACAGTCAATTTTCCTTATATTGGTGCCGATCCCATACGGAACCAACGTAAGAATCAAGGTTTCACAAGCTCTCTGTGTAACCTGTTCCAATGCTTTACTACCCTCCTCATGAGAAAGTTTTTCCTCACGTCTAATCTAAACTTCCCATGCTGCAACGTGATAAAGGTGCGTAGCGACAGATCACCATTTCTCCTGTTTGCCCTGTTCACAGATTTTGCATTTTGTGCGCTATGCATCTGTCAGCACATTAAAAAGCTTATACAAGAAGAACATTAAGGTTGCAAATTCAAGGATTCAAAACCTAGGAAATATTCTTGTTCTCTCCCAGTTCTTCCTCATTTTCTGATTCCCTCTGCTCACTTGCATCCTCCCTTTGTTCTGGCTACCTAGGCTTCTCCCTTGCAGGTTCATTCCTTCCTCCCTGCCCTATCTGGCTCTTGCTAAGGCCCCCACTCAAGCTGTTCCTCCTTTTACATGTTACCCAAGGACCAGCCAAAAAAAGAATATTAAATGCAGGAGAGAGCCCAGACACAGCAGAGTTAGACTTTTTGTAGGGATCAAGCATGCACAATCCAACTGTAACACAAACACTGCAAAGGGCTGGACCACACTCTGCAGAGATGCAATTTTTAAATAATTTAGCTGCCCAATACCAAGAGGTCTGTCTCTACTGAGACCACAGGAACTCAGATTTTTCAGAGACTTAACTTTCCAAAACATGGGGTAGGACCTTTTTATAGGGACCAAAAAAAGAGCACACACCTTGCACCAGGACAAGCTTGCCAAATTTCAAGTCTCTGCTCTAAAACACAGAGGCCTTATTGCTTCTTGATGTTACTATTACTGGATTTTATTTGCCCTAATTATCTTCTCAGAAATAGTTCAACCAATTTAGCCAAAGTCTTAAGAGAAAAATTCAGCCTCAGGCAAATATCTAGCATGGAAGATTTTGGTCAAAAGAGTTTAAACTTGGAAGAGTTATGAATGAAAAGAAGGTCCTATAATTTAAAATGCCAAGCGACCTTAACTGTAGGTGTCCTTACTTGTGCAGTCCATATTTTCCCTTTTTATAGCATCTTCCACACAAACGTTACAAAACAGAAGCTTATTTAGCTTCACAACATCCTTAGGTCCTTATGTTACAGTCAAAGAAAACAAACATGATGAAGACTGGCTTGGTCACATAGCCCACGTAGAGCTTTGGCCCCAATCTCCTGAGAACAGAGCCAAGTTCTTTTTATTCCCCAGACCGTACGTCACAATATAAAGGTACCTTTTTAATTAACTCTCCTGAAGCCCTCCAATAGCAAAAAAAGAAGTGAGTCTACTTTCTGTCACAGCCTTGACAAACACTTCATCATTTTGCTGATGCTTAATGACGACCTTCTGTTCCAGTGTGTCCTCAATGAGTATCTAAGAGTGAACTGCTAAAGTCTGTTATGCTAGTTCATTCTGTTCTTAGTTACATATAGAACCATATAAAGTCTAAACACACTACAGTTTGTGTTTCTGATTAGAAAAAGCACCTCATTTTCTTCATGATCTATGTATGATTAGTTATTCCAACTCCCTATTTAAAAGACACATTCCATACCTGCTCTCACCTTAGTTTTGCTAATCTGGCAAGATCTGAACTTCAGGTGTTTCAAAATATAAGGATGATCCATCAGGAAGTAACACGGAGACCAAAAGGTATTTAGCTGTGTTAGTCTGAGGTCAGGCAAAAGGCAGGGTAGAGGTGCATCTTACAGACTTAGGGACCACACTATGTGCCCAATTTCTATGCTACAATCACAATATACTGCTCCAACATAATGTTCTTGCTGTTTTTCCATTCCTGAGAGGCACTCGAATTCGATGACAATACGAGACCAGAACAACTGCTCTAAAGAGAAATAGTGCTACTACATGTCCTCTGCAGTAACAAAACATGAGATGTAATGGTTTAACTGAGGGTTCTTGTGTAGTCTACTGAAATCTATTGAAACTGGATGTAAAAACTCAAGAGCTTAAGAGAAAATGAAGAACACTACAATTGAGAGTCCTGTTTCTTGGTAAGTGATGGGGTCATAGTAGGCACATGGAGAGAGAGTGCTCCTCATCCCAGATCTGATGATTATTTCCTCTTTTCAGTCCAAAACAGATGTATTATCCCTGTCTCCCTCTTGCTTCCCCACCCTACTTCTTTAAGTGCATTTGCTGGAGCACTAAGTAATTACCCACTACAAAGACCAGATGCACAGCCAGGTCTCCCTTTCAGGGGCACTGTCAGAGCAGCGCAACTGATACTCTCTTCCTCAAGGCCTGACCACTGTTCACAGCGTCCTTTCCTTGAGCATTAGAGCTCTGTTACACCAATCTTATTTCTGTAGCCAAAAGATCTTTCTCCCCAGAACAAGTCTCTTTACTACAGGGAATCTTACGTTCCCTGCAGGGAAAATTCAGACTCTAAGTCAGTGGTTTTAGTCTGTGACAAGTGCAATCAAACCTTTTGGGATACACAATGTTTTCCAACAGCATTTAGGTACCTACCAGGCTCTGTTCAATGAGCAGACAGAAAAGCACAGCATTTCCCACCTCCCGCAAATTCTGGAAACACACTGTCTTCAGTTCTGCATATTCAACAATGTCCTTCAGCTGATGGTGGAAAAATTCCAGGATACCTGAGATCAAAATGAATAAACAATGTGTGAGGAATCAAAGCCAACTATTCCAGTAGTGACCACACACAGAGCCATTAACTTACTGAGCTTAAATGTTAAGAGGCCCTGGTTATGTGAATAAAGTCATAGGAATCAGGACTTTTGTCCTGCTCTCCAAAAGCAATACAGCAGTTTTATAACAAGCAACATTTCATGAAAGACATTTATGCTAATTACCTCTACTGACTGCCCTGGTGCAGTTCCACTGTGACAACTGCATTGACATTGAGGGATATCTGCGCAGCTTATTGTGTTGGACTATTTGTGTACTTGGCCTTAAGATAAACTAACTGAGCCATATTTAAGAATATTCAGAAAAAAGGCAAAATACGTTAAAGCTGGGGATGACCTTTAGAACTCAGATAATTTGTGCAAATTAGAAGTTTCCAAGGGTTTTGCGGGGAAGGACATGGTATGTAAGTTGGGGAAAGGGGCTCCCGAGGAAGGAAGATGCAACAGGACCCTTGTTTGCTCTCAGTCCTGCCTGGGCTTCCTGTTTTTGATGCTATTCCTGACCCCAGGGTGCACTTCACTCAAAAAAATCGCTGTCAAGTCCCAACCAGGAAGGAAGCAATAGGACACAGAGGGCTGAGGAGATGGAGAATCCTTTTTGGAGAGTGCCATCAGCTTCAGATTAATGCCAGTGGAAGAAGAAAACTGCAGTACTGCTCTGAGAGAGAAAATGAAGGTGCTGTGTGTGGCCTGGGGCTGAAGTGGACAGCAGAAAAAGAGGGAGAACCAGGATGTATCAAACTCCTCATTGGCTGGCTGAGGAAGAATTCAGCTGAGTAGAAATTCAGCTCCTATTTCTAGCATAATTTTTCACAAAATAACAGACAAACAAAAAAACCTCCATCTCAAGAAGATTCTTGAGTTCAATCATACAAGGCAGTGTAAAGTTCCTGAACAGTAAGCTAAAGCAGCAACATCACTTATGTGAACTATAGAGTTAAATGGTGCTCTCTCTGTACATCTGATTGAGTATTATCCTACTTTGATAGTAAATGACATGGAACAACGAAAAAGGCAAGCAGTAAGACTTCCCAGGCATCCTTTGAGATCCCCGTGACCTGTACTAAGTTAGCAGTTTGGACACAGTATGGTGCAATCCATTACTGATGCTGGAGACAGAGGTCATGCACTTACTAAACCAATCTCCCTGAATGAGAAAATCACACATGCAAATGTAGGACCAAGCACCACTCAAGGTGCAGGATATGGCCAGCCAAATGTTACCTCTTCCAACATTTTTCTGACTTAACAGGTCAGTCAAACATATGATTCATTCTGTTAAAAACAAAAGAGTGGCCTAACAGGACATGGCCCTTTCACTGAAGCACTGCCCCAAAGAAGATAAAAACTACATAAGGGAAGAAGACAAAGATTAAAGAGTCAGGACTTAAATACCCTAAAGATGCCCCAGTACAATAAAAGTTCTGATTATTATAAATTAAAAATGAAATGCTGTAAGAGGAGATCATCACACAAGGGTGGACACCAGTAGTTTTGAGGGCAAAGAATGGGTTTTCAGAAGGGATTCTTCAATGGAAACAAACAGGATATCCATTCAGGTGCAGGGGGAAGAGAGATAGTAGCATGAAATACAGGGAACAAGGTGAGAAGAGCAGGCATAAAGGGGATGAGACAGATGAGCTGTAGACTCAGGCCCAGTTGTACCACCAATCTCACATAAATTAGGCTAAGGAACCAGAAGTTTACAGTGAAAGACAGGAATGGTGTCAGCCAACACAACTTTCTGGAAAAAGGTCCTGGCAAAAACAAACCCAATTTTACTTTTTGATAATATCATAAAATGTGATTGGTGAGGATATCTGCAGAGACTCAAACTTTTGTATGATGCCTAAGTATGTTATTAAAGGAAAAAAAAATAGCATTACACAATACCCAAGTAGTCACCTCACCAACAAGAAAAAGCAAGGCCACGTTTCCAGAAACAAATTATGATAGACAGAACAAGAGTGGGAGGCCATACCCCGGAAAGCTCTGACACTGAAAAGGATTCACGAGTGACAGTGGTCAAGGTGAACTCCAATTCAACACGATGACTAGAAAAATAGTGCAATCCATGGATGGGTTTAAAGAGCAGTGATCAGGAATCAGGAGGTCAGTTCTAATGCCTCCGTGTATTGCAAGACCAATGCAAGAATATCCTGTACAGCTCAGGTGGTTCTTATTTTGAGAAGGAGGAAGAAGAATTAGAGATGGCAGAGAAAAAAAAAAAAAGCTGTATTTTTTTTTAAAGAAGAAAAAAGCAGACATTGCCTTTATGCTACAGCAGCACAAAGCCCAAGCAAACAGACATCCATGCCCCTTGTCGCACCACAAATGTCCAAAACTTGTGGTTGTGACAATAGGTAGTAAGCTTTTGTGCAGCTTTTTTGCAGCAGACATCTGTTTGCTTTATTGTGGGAGAGTGCAGGCAGCCTAGAGCAGCCCTCACGCTCCAGCTGCCCCAGGCAGACACTCCCAGGATTTCCAGGGCCCGATCCTGCATGTCCTGGAAACTTCCCTGCAGGGTTTCTCCCACTTGCAGAGGCATGGCCTAAGTCAAAGTCCGGCAGCAAGATGCACGTTCCTGGGGATTCCTGGACACACTTCTGCAACAGGAGAACATAGGGCTCTCCCCTTTGCAGTGCTCTCACAGGATTTGATCCCTGAAACCCCGGAAACAACAGGGCCCAACCCTGTGGCACAACCAGCAACAGGGCTCTCTAATTTGTGAGATAATGGTATCATAAGAACCAATAACAGGAAGTTAAAGCTAGATCGTTTTGCCTCATTTCCCATTTAAGCTTACTTGTGAACGTGATTAAGCCTTGAAAAACTTTCCAAGGCGAGTAGCGGAATTTCCAGCATTTTGTGCAGTATTTCTACACGGCCCAAGGCAGTGGTGTGCCGAGACACCTAAGCCAGCTCTGGTACCAAAAGCAGTATTGCCAGGTTGGCGTGACACTCCATTTGAGCTAACGCACTCTGCTTCTCAGCAGAGTTAACTAATCCAGGAAAAATCACTGTACAAAAATCAAGCTAAATTGCTTCTGCTGCAGGTATTTCTGTGGTCATGACCTCAGGCTGTATAAAAGCCTTAAGCTCCAGAAAAACTCCTTAAGAGAAGTGGTAGAAGGCATGGCCTGGGATGCAAGAACTTAAGCCCACTTCCAAGAACTCAGGCCAATGTCCTGACCTAGTCCTTTTTCAACCTAGAGAAAAGTAAACAGAACAAGAGATCAGTCACCTTACAACCCCATCAGGCCAGGTGCTCCCATACCCTGCCGAGATCCATTACCATGGGTTTAGCTTCTACACAGAGCTGTCTGCAGCTGAGCCTGCCTGTCCAGAGGCTATTCAACACCTGCACAAGGGCCTCCCTCAACTCTCCATGTCTGTTGCTGACAAGCTTGAACAGAAGCCAGCCTTGGCAAAAATGACCACTGCTGTTGAAGGCCTCACCATGGGGAAGGCATCAGGTCTTGACAGATTACCCAAATTCTGCAAGACCTTTTGGCTCCTCCTCAGCCTGGACGTCCTGCACGTCTTCTAGGACAGCATCAGTGATGGGATCATGCTGGTCAGCTGCCAGTGAGCAGCAATCATGCTGCTTCCCAAGAAAGGAGATCTCGGTAACATGTAGAACTGGCAACCAGTATTGTGTGCCTGTGTACCAATTCCAAAATCCTAACCAAAGCCATGACTAACCGGCTCGGTGTGGTCCATTGTTGGCCCCAAACAGAGCTACAGTGCACCTGGAAGAACCACCCAGGAAAATCCATTTCTGCTACAATGACATGCCGGCAGCTATGAAATGCTTTGGCCTGAACTTTGGCCTGGTCTCCCTGGATCAAGAAAGATCCTCCAATTGGTCAACCACAATTTCTTATTCTGGACTTTGAAAGCCTTTGGTTTGAGGCCTGTATTCTCCCTCAACCATCCAGATCCTGTACCAGGATACCTTCAGCTTCCTGCAGGTGAACGGAGAGCTATGTGCCCTGCTCCCAGTACGCGGGGGTACCCAGCAAGTCTGCCCTCTTTCCAAAATGTTCTATGCCGTCACCATTGAGCCATTGTTCCACACGCTATGGCAGCACTTGATGGGCCTGGTGTTCCCATTGGCCATGACCCCAGCTGCTGGCACTGTACTATCCCTTCCCATGCCAGCAAGAACAGTGATGGGATCTGCTTTGCAATCTCTTCTGGGAAGGCACTGTACAATCAAAGTGCATTATTCCCGTGTCCTTACTGCCTGCTCTGATACGACTTGGAGGCAATACCTAGTGGCATCAACACCAGACGGAGCCCGATTGGCCTAATGTACCCTGTACAAGCTACCCATTGCCAAAACAACTGGTGACCTCCAGAAGCAGCTACTGCATGGGGCCCTGGCCAGGGGTACCTTGGATTTGGATCCATCAGCATCAGCAGCCTGCCCTTACTGTGAGGAAGTAGTCTTCCTGGACCATCCCTGGCTGCTGTCACTCTTTGTTGCCTTCAGCACCCTCTTTGGCCTGGACTTGGACTTCTCCAAGACTGTGTATATCTCCTCTTCTGTACTGAACAGCCAAGGGGAGTGTAACCTGCCTGTCCAATTTTCTGCTGGACCAGGCCAAGATGGTGACTGAAAAACCACAGAAACCAAATCACAAAGGCCAGCTCTGACAGTACACTCCAACTCTTCTGCTTCCTGGTCTGGGTGCACGTGAATTTGAACACTTCACCTTGCAACAAAATGAGGACTAGTTTGTGTCATGCTGGGCCACTGAGGGAGCCCTCCACAAGGTGGAAGATGGACATCTGGTGCATATAAGGGACATGAGGGAGAGCGATCCAATCTCCGGGGACACGGTTTTTGTTGCTAACAAGTGTTTCATGCTCAGCTCCTGGGAAGGCCACATACCTCTGCACATTCTCCATTTGTTTTTAATATTTGTATAATAAGGGTTTAA